CAGCATGGGTTTGGACATGTTCACACACAGTCAACAACCAGGCATGAAGTCTAACTTTCAATAATTTGCTGTGCTTACACTTGTATTAGAAATAAAATTGTATATACATTTTTACCATGCACACTGTGGCATCAAATAATGTAGTGTTTTCATTTTAGCACAATATAACTGAATAAATAAATACAGTTAGTTTGTTTGCTTTGTTTTTGTGATCAGAATGAAGTTTTCCACGTCTTTTAGGAGAACATGTTAAAATATCATCATCTTCAAAGGTGCTGCTGCTACTACATTATCCTGTTGAGTCTCTTTCAGTTAAAATTATTAAATGTAATTAAAAACATTACCAGTAGTTATTTTTTTTCTTTCCAGCTGGTCACTCAGGTTAATGTTTGTCTTATTTAGTAAATAGAAAAAGGAAACTTGTATTGGTATTATGGCAGAAAAAAGGCTGAGGTAATGACAGTAAAAGTTTGGGGTTTGAAATCAAATAAAGGAAATTATATATTTATTTATTACAGGTTGGGCATTGGTCCTACAAAAAGTTTTAGATGGCTGTTAGAAGTTGGGACAACTGTCATGAACATTTTACCTTATTTCGTTAATGTGGTTGTGATATTTACCACTATCATATTCATGTTTTTGGAATAAGAGGCAGAAATATGAGGAGGAGTGTGTTAAAACTATTATTTCTGTTCCTCATTAAAACTGATGTTTTGACAAAACTGTTGGCTGAGTTACAGTGAGCAGATCAGTTTCCAGTGTTTCAATCATTTAACCACATTTCTACACAGTGATCAATACAAATAAATACATCTCAGTATGTCTTTTTCCAGCAGTGCCTACACAAAGAGTGATTGCTGCGTTTGTTTTTCTTGTACTTCACTTAAATATGGGGTGTGCATTTGGCCTGGAGTTTGAAACAAGCTCGCTCTTATCGTAGAGCTGTCACACACATTTTACCATGTTTTAACATGTTAGCGTAACAAAGGATGCCTGACATATTTCTTTCCCTTCTTTGCTGCCCGAAGCTAATACCATATCTGTTAGGTGTGGCTGTGTGCAGACAGGAATAGGACCCAAGGTGCAGACTCCGGAGACAGAACTTAAACAAAAACA